CCTGCACTTGGGTCACAACAACCCCATGCAACACTACAGGCTTGGGGAGGCGTGGCTGGAAAGCTGCCTGGCGGAAAAGGAGCTTGGGGTGAACATGAGCCAGCAGTGTGCCCAGGTGGGCAGGAAGGCCAACGACATCCTGGCTTGTATCAGGAATAGTGTGGCCAGCAGGAGTAGGGAGGTGATCGTGCCCCTGTACTCGGCACTGGTGAGGCCGCACCTTGAGTACTGTGCCTCTCACTGTAAAAACGACATTGAGTTGGTGGACCGTGTCCAGAGAAGGGCAACGAAGCTGGTGAAGGGTCTAGAGAACAAGTCTTATAAGGAGCGACTGAAGGAACTGGGGTTGTTAAGTCTGGAGAAGAGGAGGCTGAGGGGAGACCTTATTACTTTCTACAACTACCTGAAAGGAGGTTGTGGTCTCTTCTCCCAGGTAATTAGGGATAGAACAAGAAGCAATGGCCTCAAGTTGCGTCGGGGAAGTTTAGAGTGGAGATTAGGAAAAATTTCTTTACTGAGAGTGGTCAGGCATTGGAATAGGCTACCCAGGGAGGTGGTTGAGTCACCATCCCTGGAGGTGTTCATAAAACGTGTAGATGCGGCATTTTGGGACATGGTTTACCAGGCATAGTGGTGTTGGGTTGACGGTTGGGATTGATGATCTTAGAGGTCTTTTCCAACCTGTGATTCTATGATTCTATGATAACTCAACTGTCGTAGGACACTTCGGATACTGAAACTGTTAACTAGTTCAAAAGAAGTGAGACAAACTCATGAAAGTTAAGTCCATCAGTTTTTATTCCATGTAATGTCTGGTTGCAGTCTCTAGACAAGGAAGACCCTAACCTACTGGTTTCTGTTAGCAAATCTGAGAAGGATCTTTTACTTGCTATGATTTTATACTTTCGTCAAATCTCTGCTATTGGCATTCTCCCTGATTGTTTATTAGAAGCAGAAATATATACCCAGGCTGAGAAGAGGAGACTCATGCCACGTTAGGTATAGAGCCTGAAAACTTAATAATGTAGTGAAGAGAAAGGAATTCAAGACATGTTAATGGGAGGAAAGCAAATAGAAGAGATGTGGTCAGAAGTATGGGACTGTTAACTTCAGGTGGAAAGGGAAAAGAACATTTCTGACAGCCGCAGTGGTGCCTCCAGTGGTGAAGTAGTAACACCTAAATTTAGACACCTAACTTCTAGTCACTATTCTTGATAAAGAACTAGTTGACCTTATCATAGTAGGAAGCGTTAATGGCTCAAAGAAACCAGTGTTATGTCCTATGTGGTAACTGTTTCTGGAACACCTGGTCCTTTCAGCTTAGCAGAGTAGGTGGGATTCATTTAAAGGCTGCTGCAAGTGCAAAATTTTTTGTTATGTAGCATCTCAGGTTAGTAAAATTAAATCCCATCCAAATAATTAGCATGATTTTACAGCTGTGCAGTAAAGGCACAGGAAGAAATTGGCTTGCTTAAATATTGTGTATATAGCCGTAATATTTCAATTATACCAGTTTCTAATTGCCAAACAATTGTAGCTACCATGATGTCTGATGATCACATGGCTTTGTACAATGATGAGGCTTGTATCATTCAGATATGGAGTCGTGCTGTATATAATCTAATATATAATTTAATTTAGTGTTTCTGTAATTTCTTTCTGCCTAACTTTCCTTCCCTTTTTGACAAATGAATCAGAATAGTAATCAAGGTAAGACTGCTTCTCCATAACAATCAATGAAGAAGGTATTGAGATTCAAATCACTAGTTAGTCTTGAATCTGACTAGAAATCCTATCTGTTATTGCATCAACTACATATCTGTAATAAAACCAAGAAGATACACTGATTCAAATTAGGTGGCCTGCTCAAGTATGTACTTCAGTTGTTTTGAAACAATCTGTATGTTAACTTTGCTAAGCTTTGAAATGACAGCAGAAATTGTTTATAATATTTCTCAAGGATTTGTTTCAATATTTCTTTGTTTCTTAAGAAAAACTGAAAATGACATTCTTCAAAGTTTTTGTGTAGATCTTTTCAGAGAAGAAATTTTATATTGGTTAACATAACTAGGTTATAGTTAGTATGGTTGCATTTTCTCTATATCTTTGTTTCTGGGAGCTAATTTAAATGTGAACAATCTGTGATTTTAAATATAATAATTTATTAAGTCATAGTTTAAGAATGGCAGCCCAGACTTTCATAGATAAATGTCTGAGGTAAAATTACGTGGTTTATTATGAGAACACTTTCCTAGCTGTTGTTCTTAATTACTGACTTGCAAGGAGTGCTGCAAATTCCTAGAAGCTATATATTCTTTTGAAATATCAGTCAGGAATGGGATTAGATAAATAGCTAATAGTAGTTCAACAGCTATTTTATTAACTATTTTTGTTAACAGTAAGCCCTACAAAATGTTGATACTATCTTGTTTTCAGCTGATGGAAAATGGAAATATAAAGCATTAAAACCATGGGGATACTAGCTAAACTCTCAGAATACAGGAAAATAGCTATTCTGTTCCAAAGCATCAGGAAAAATCTTCAGCAGAAAGAAAACAAGTTTGCATTCTATGGAGATCAAAAAGCAAGAATTTTTCAAAGCAAGGAGGGAAGTGGGAAAGTTTGTTCCTACCTGTAAGCATATTGATATCAACAATGACAAGAAAAGTAAATGGTAGTAGAATGGCATCCTAGCAACCAGTACCTTCATGAAATTAGTTGTATGTGCTGTGAGCTTGTTAACGGTCCTTATGGAGCCAAAATACTGCGTCAAACAGGAATAATTTCTGTTTAAATTGGTTCCCAGGAGTGGCTATTAGTTTGTGTGTGGGAAACCAATTTTGCTGTAAGTTTCTTTTAATCCTTCTCAGGGAAGATTTGTCTGAACTCTTGAACCAAGGAAAGGGAGAAAATGCCATCAAAGTTGAATAGCTTTCCTTCTGCTAGGTCAGAAACATAATTGCAATGTTTTCAGCCTTAACATAAAGATCTGACGCAACTATGAATAAAGGTAAAATAAAAAGCAGGCTTGTCTTATGTTAGTGACCAATATTAAAGGAAAAACATTGCATTGGTTGGCAGATGCACTAAATGATGTAAATAAATTATTACCTTCATATATAGAATGAAGAATAAAAGACAGAATAGACGTTTTTAGGGTAGAGTTTTACAGAATGTGCTTTATGGAAATAAAGAGATGACCTTCTGTGCAAATTATATCAGTTGTGGCAGCAGTGTTTGATCCTTTACCTTGCAAACAGGAGAAGGTAAAGTAGTCCAAAAAAAGTTTGTGGTGAACAAAAAGAACTTACCAAAGCAACAGGAATATATCTGTTAAATCTCCTGCCTAGTTCAGATAGATAAATAGGTACCTAATTTGGATATCTTTTAGTTATGGGATGTTCTCATTGTGGCCTTTATAATTTGGAATACTTTTAGTGAGTTTTATTTTTTTTTAAAATACTTTTCTATCTTTCATTTGCACCTTTTTTTTCTTCTGTATTTATGGGTCAGGGTATCATTCAGTTAAATTATATGAGGAGTTGGAAAGGATTCAACTGAAATTTCTTGACTTTTCAGATTTAATATTCTCAATTAAAGGTACTTTATTATCATAGCAGTGTTTGAAATGATAATTTTCTTTTATTTAAAGAAAGTTTTAGAATAATAGGTCTCCTGAACAGGTAAATTATTTCACAAGTCAGATCTTACATATTACTAGGATATCTTTGTTTTAATTTTAATATTTCACCTTCTCTTTTGCATGAGTAGCTTTCTGAATTGTGTGGATGTGTATGTTCTTGTGTTTCAGATTGGAGAATTCATATACCTGGTAGAGGGAGCAGGTGATATACCTTTGCCTTCAAGATTGCTCCCAATGGATAGTCCAAATGTTTTGCATGTTAGCAGTACATTAGAAGGTAAAGAGAATAGAAAGGAGAAGAGTAAAATAGAGCAAATAGTAGAATCATAGAATGGTTTGGGTTCAAAGGGACCTTGAAGATGACCTAGGTCCAACGCCCCTGCCATGGGCAGGGACCAGGTTTCTCAAAGCCCCATCCAACCTGGCCTCTAACACTTAATTCTCCTTTGCAAATATTCTTTAATTCCCATGCATTTTTGTTAAAATTAATTAAATACATCTGGTAAAAGAAGTTGCTTATAGAGAAGTGTAAGAAGGGTCTTAGTGTGACTGTCAGATATTTCTTACAATGTTCAGTCTGCTGTCTTCAGAGCAGCAGCTGGTTATTAGCTATCTTTTCTATTTTAGAATAAAGGTTGTAGACAGGTGAGCCAGGACAAGTCATCTTTACCTAGAATTTTTCTAGTTTTAAAACATATGAGTTTTGTATACAGTCTTGTGATTTGACAGGCAATCTGATACTTTTGTCTTCAAACAGCCAGTGATAAACTGCTGTCAGTCCTATTTCAGAAACAGTGTAGCTATTTATTTGAAAAAATTGCTGGTGGCTTCTTTTAGAGGGGATGCAACATCATCTAGAGGGATAAAAGAGAGGCTGTATTGTGTATGAAGCAGAAAGAATTTTTTGAACTTTCATTACCATCATAATAGTAAGAACACTAAGGTCTTGAGTTTTTTATGAGCTATCAAAAGCAACCTTTGGTTTGGATATCAGGCTGTGTTAACCTTTATTTTCCCATTATGATTAAAAATAAAAATGTATTACTGGAGTAAATAGCATATGCTAGAGTAATAACATGTAACTAAGCGTCAAAGGAATTTTGTATTCTGACTTTTTGATGGAGATTAGGGTTTTTAAATACTCTATGCAGTTACACTAGCAGCGGACAAATGTGGGGGTTTTGTTTCTTTTTTTTATTTAACAGGTCCAAGTGCAGTAAAGCCAGTTTTATATTTGAAATGTGGCCTTGCTCAGATTCTTGAAGAAAAATTGAGGATTCCATTGGTCAATGAGTCAAGAGAGAGGGCTCTGGCCATTGCTGCACAACAGCAGATGTCAACTATTGAATATGAAAGAAGAAAGATCACGGGGACTCTGCAGAGCAGTAGTGTTCGAGTTGCAACTGCATTGTTAGGGCTGTCGAGCATAGAGGTGAGAAACACAGTAATCTGTTACTGCAATTATTTAGTTGTTCTTGATTTTTAGGAGTGAATTTTTTCAATTTCAGGAAATAGTGTGAGTTATGTTTTTTTTCACGTATTCTGTAATCTGTTGTTTACTAATCCCAGTTCCCCTCAAACACTGGATTATTTTATATGTTCATTCTGAAGCTGCTTCCTCACTCCATGGTGTTAAGACATGCTCCCTTTAAGAAATATTGGCTACAGTTAAAAAAAGCATTAATACTTTACTTCAGTTAGCTTCTGAAAAATACCTATTGATTAAAAATATTTTCATAAGCTATGTAATAGATAGCTTTATTAGTATCCTTCCTTATGCACATTTTTGTAAGAAATGAAAATTCTCGAAATGGACTTTTGTTTTTAAAGAATACACTTTGAGAATAAATCAAGGAGCAGGAAAGGCTTTTTCTTGTCTTGCAATCAACACAAAACAACTTTGGAAAACCACAAATCTTCCTTATAAGCTATAGCTCCCTACTTGTATATCATTCCAGCCTAGAGATATTTTCCCAAGATTTCAACATCTAGAAATAAAAAAGCCCTCCCAAGGTAGTCCATTAAATATTCAGTTAGTACTGGTGAGCAAATTTATAATAACAATATTGCCAAATAAGCAAGCTCTTTTCTTATGTAGAATTCAAATGTAACCTTCTATGAATGACAGCCACACTCTGAGTTTTAATGTGTTGTGAACCTGATGTTACCTTGTCTCAGACAGATTGCTGGGCAGCTGTATGTTATTCCAGCTTTCCAGTTCAACTGTTCCCTGAACATGGTTCCCAGGGTTACATGATTCCTAATACTAAGAGGAAGAGAATTTTCCGTGGTGTCTTGCTGTTGCTATATGTATGCCTTTTATTTACAGATAATTTTAAAAAGTAGTATAAAACAAATTAAATGAAGAAAAGTGAAAGAGTAGATTTAACAGGTTATATGTTTGTAGTGGGACAAGAATTGTAATCATGTAATCTAGACTCAAATATTTCCCTTTTGGATTACAGCTAATCCACCTCTGTGGTAACATTTTATAAACTTTTCATAACTGAAGTCCTTTAATATCACAGTCACTTAGCAAATACTTGATGAAAGACCTAACTGCTCTGAAGCTGTGGGTCTAATCAAGACAGAACATAAAAGGAACACTCTTTGTACCACTAGGTATGCTAAAATCAAATGAGAGTTCTAAAATTACTTGTATCGTAGAAGAGCGGAGGACAATTGGATTAGTTATAAAATACATAATGATGGATACTAACACCAAATAATTTATCCTGTGAGAAGTGAAAGTAATATGGGCAGAGAAGTATTTTGCCCCGTAGAATCACAGAATTGTTTATGTTGGAAAAGACCTTTAAGGTCATCGAGTCCAACCATTAACCTAACACTGCCAAGTTGCCACTAAACCGTGTCCCTAAATGCAACATCTATACATCATGGAATACTGCCGAGGGATGGTGACTCAACCACTTCCCTGGGCATCCTGTTCCAATGCTTGACACCCCTTTCAGTAAAGAAATTTTTCCTAATCTCCAATCTAAACCTCCCCTGATGCAACCTGAGGCCATTTCCTTTCGTTCTATCAGTTGTTATCTGGGAGAAGAGACCAACATCCACCTTTCCACAGCCTCCATTCAGGTAGTTGTCGAGAGCTATAAGGTCCCCCCTAAGCCTCCTCTTCTCCAGACTTAACAACCCCAGTTCCCTCAGCTGCTCTTTATAAGACTTTTTCTCTAGACCCTTCACCAGCTCGTTGCCCTTCTCTGGACACGTTCCACCAACTCAGTGTCGTTTTTACAGTGAGAGGCCCAAAACTGAGCGTAGTACTCCAGGTGCGGCCTCACCAGTGCCGAGTACAGGGGCACGATCACCTCTCTACTCCTGCTGCCCACCCTGTTCCTGATACAAGCCAGGATGCCGTTGGCCTTCTTGGCCACCTGGGCACACTGCTGGCTCACGTTTAGCCAACTGTCAACTAACACCCCCAGGTCCTTTTCTGCCAGGCAGCCTTCCAGCCACTCTTCCCCAAGCCTGTAGTGTTGCATGGGGTTGTTGTGACCCAAGCGCAAGACCTGGCACTTGGCCTTGTTGAACCTCATACAGTTGGCCTCAGTCCATCTATCCAGCCTGTCCAGATTCCTCTGCAGATCCTTCCTACCCTCGACCAGATCAACACTCCTGCCCAACTTGGTGTTGTCTCCACACTTGCTGAGGGAGCACTCAATCCCCTCATCCAGATCATTGATAAAGATATTAAACGGAACTGGCCCCAAAACTGAGCCCTGGGGATCATCACTCATGACCGGCCGCTAGCTGGATTTCACTCCATTCACTACCACTCTTTTGGCCTGGCCATTCAGCCAGTTCTTTATCTAGTGAAGGGTACACCCATCCAAACCCTGGGCAGCTAGTTTCTCCAGGAGGATACGGTGGGGAACAGTGTCACAGGCCTTACTAAAATCCAGGTAAATGACAGCCACAGTCTTGTAAAGAAAATCTTGTCATTGGTTAGGAGAAATGACATGGAGAAATTCTCCTATATAGTGATGTAGGAAAGACTTTACACATTAAAAATATCTCAATATGGTAATCCACTATGCAAATTAAATTCTGAAAAGTGTTCCTAATCATTTTTTTGTCATAAAATCTTTCTTACTGTCCATATAACAGTGACAGTATAGAAATTCTGGTGGCACTTATTGAAGAAAATTTTTTTAGTGGGGCTGGCGTTCTGTGATTAAATTTGGAGCCGATGTGGGGGTTTTAGGTTCATTGTCTAAAGTGCCCCAGTAATGCCACCAAAAGATTCCGTCAAAAGTTCCTGTGGTTTGATGAATTATTTAGGCTTATGAAATCCTTTGGAACATATGTTGTAGGTTAGAGATAAACCTAGAATCTCTGGAATCCTGTTACTCTGATTTCTGTTCCACCTTTCTACTCACTTCCTGCAGGTATAATTGTGTTATATAATGGATGGACAGAAGGGGAAATGCCCTGATATTATTACTACTTGGTCCATTTTTTTGCCTGTGAAGTTGAAGAATAAATAACCAAATAATTGCATGCTTTCTATTGTTATTAAACTGTACATTTTACTCATGTTTATTTAAATCACACAGAAAACAGTAATAAAGATAGGCTATATTCTTGGAGACAAACTGGATATGCATGTTCAGTAACTTGTGCTGTATGTTTTTACTCAAACCATCTATATGCATGGTTAAAAGTCCTAGGTATTTTTGTATTGTGTTTTTACTGCTTCTTTTTCTTGCTGTGATAAATAAAGATCTATTTTGATTGTCTTTAATGATTAGAGTTGCAAAAAAAAAAAAAAAAAAATTTTTATCTCTTTCCCATAAAAGTTGTTGTGCTGATCAGAACCAATTTATCCAGTTGGATTTTTGTGCTAAATGGTGTTACTAGTGGGCCAGTATTAGATAACGTGCAAGCAGAGTACAGAAGTGACAGTCAACAAGTCTGAGGAGCTTGGAAATGGACATTCAATGGAAAGGAGAAGGAGTATTAGCTAAATATTTATTTTTTTTACTTTAAGTATTAGATTAAAATCAGCTCATTAGAAAGTTCTGCTAGAAATAGAATTTTAATAGCTTATTTTACAGTCTTGGGCACTGAAGGACTTACTAGCAACAAGGTTAAGTAGTTAAACTGCCATTCTCCCTCTCTGACCCTGTGAAAGTAACCTCTACTGCCAACACAATCCAAACCATTTGTTAAAGGGTTTTTTTTTTATGGTGTTTAAACTTTGTTATAATTAAAAAAAATAAACAAATTTGAGACCAAATAGCATCAAAATTTAATAAAGCAGTTAGAGCCATTAAGTAATGAAGAGATGGGAAGCAAGGATGCTAAAGCAATAGGAATCCAAAGATACAGATCTCAATATTTGAAGGAAAATGAGAGACTGAAATCAGTAGCCTTATGCTGTTTAATTCTATTAGTATATGATCTATAAATATACGAAGCATAAAAACCTAGAAATTAAATAATAACTTGGCTACATGCCCATTTCTGGCTTTTTTTGTTGTTTTTTTCTGTTCTTTTTAATGAAAAATGCTTGTAAAGTTCAGAATTTTCTTTTTTAAGTATACAATTCTGTTATTTCTTACCTCCTGAGTATTTCTTTAGTTTAATTCCTTCTAAAATATTTTTATGGAGTAGTAAAGGGGATATAGGATCAAACTCTCTGCCACTGTTAAGGTTGGGACTGGCATTATTGTGAATAACTACAAAATGCCTTTGTTAATGATGAATAAGAGAAAGCCAAATGTGGGAAGTTTAGGTGAACAGAGATAACAAGGGAAGAAAAAGGGTATCTTGAAAGAAAGGGCAGAGAATGTGGAAGAACACAACTTACTTAGATTGAAGTTGCTAATAGTTGTAAGTAGAGGGGAAGTGAATAAAAGAAAGAAGGAAATAACAGGATAACTAGAATTCGGTCACTTGGGTATGTGAGGGGAAGGATATTGCTGTCAGTGGAATGAAATTCAAAATAACATGCCCCAGTTTTCCTTTTTTCTAGAATCTACCTAAATAGGTAGAAGTTGCACCCAGTGTCTAGATACAGGGTTCTTTCTTCATAGTCACAGATGCCAGTAATCTCCTTGTGTAGTTAGACATTATGATGTGAAAAGAGGTCCTGTTCTACAAGGATCCCAAAACTAAAGCTTGCACTTTCCGCTATGTCGAAATGTGTCCTCATAGTTAAGCTGCAAATAGTTGTTACTTAGGCTCCATTTTGCCCCCCTTCAAATGAATGGCTCATGTGAGGCTGGACACCAGTTCTCTGTATCCTTCGCCATATTCCCGCTGTTAGGACATCATGTGTTTTCTTTCTGTCCATGTGACTAAGCAAATTTAAGTATTTTTGTCTGAGTACATCATGGTGGTGGTGATGAGTTTTAGTTTTGATCAATGGAAAATGAGCAGAGAACTTGTGCTCTTGAAGCTATGGCTTCTGCTGTTTGGCTGATGTGACAGGATCTCATCCCTCATCTGTCCAGCTCTGATCTTCAAAGTTTGTGCTCTTTGTAGTCCCTCTGGATTCGAGAAGGATTTTGTGACCTGTGATCTGCCGTGGGATTATGGAGAAGTTGTAAACTCAGTTTGAATAGTTTGCTTTTTTAAATACAAGTGTGGGGGGTTTTTTTGAGAAAGAATCATGGTGTCCTTGAAGAGAGAAGATACTGTAATTAAAAAGTTACATTAGATACGTTTGAATGGGAATGAACTTTTCACAAAAGGATCTGTGGTCAGGTTTCAGTTTGTCGAAGTTATAACTGGGACCAATGTCTTTTATATTACATTACTTATCTTTTGGTATGGGATTAAGGGAGATGGAAAACTTGATTGATCACAGGGATTCTGAGAGACTGAGAACATAAAATTCTTTTATTCATGAGGAACTATTTTAGAAGTTAATTGCTAGAAGGAAGAAACAGGGCTAAATTAGTATTTGGAAGATAGTAGCGTGCAAAAAAAGAGTAAGGTGCCTCAGCACTCTTGAATAGAATCTGCTATCCTTTACGCATAGAAAGTACAGATGGCAAATCTAAGAAAATACTTTGGAAAATCAATCAGTCTGAAAAAAATCAAGTTTAGTTCTGATGCTTTATATACCCTCCAATCCTCTTTCAAAAAATTATTCTAAAAAAGAAATTAATCCTGGGAACTGAATGCAATTGCTGTTCTTAATTGGTAATAACACTTCCACACTTGGAATATCATGAACGGTTACACTGATGAAGTACATGTTGGAATCTGTCTTATTGTAGCACAGCAGCCTTAGACCTCCAATTGATAATGAGCGTTAAAAGTATTAAATTCCTTTTAACTCTGACTGTCTTGAAAAATACTGAAAAGGAGGAGAGCAGCTGCAATATTTACCTGCATTTTGTTGGATATTTTCTCTTTTCTTGGAAATACTACCCTTCGAGGTAACAGGCTTTAGTCTTGTGTGTGCTTGCATCATTTTCTTTTTCCTTTTCAAAAAGATCTAGATCTCTCATTAAAAATATTTTCATCCTTTACTCTTTGACGAGGTACCAGGAAATATTTGAAATTTTCATAGACTATGTAATACTAACCATCTGTCTTTTTTCCTAATGTATCTTTAAAAATGAGACAGTGTGAGCGAGGATCTTAAGATAAAAAAGCAGTGATTTTTTTAAATCATAAGATATCTCTTCAAGGTAATTATAATTTTATTGTGTTCTGTGCTCCACCAAAGGTCATCTTACAATCATATTTTCAATTAAGACTTCACAAAACCTTTTAATTATATTGGATTTATTTCAGTGTTGGAGAATAATCTAATTACCAAAATCAGTTGTGGATATAAATTTATATTTGAATATGCAGAAGATTGAAGTCATATTTAAATTGGTAAATATATGTAATTCTTCTGGTTTGGAACTTCCCATTACAAGTGAGAATGAAATATCTTTTTCCTCTTGCAAACTCTTCTGTGATTTCAGTCTTATCAGAGAGAAATGGAACTTGCTATTAATATAGCAACTGAATTAGTAGCACTAATTAATTTTTTTATTTATTTATGTGTGTGTGAGAGTGGACTATCAGTGAACTTCTAGTCTTGCATGATAGAATTAATAGTGAGTTCATATTTTCAACTCACATAACAATTCTTCTTGTCACTTCTGTAAATTATATTTGCACTGACAAGTGGTGCAAATAATACAATAAAAAAGAACCATATTAATGTTTTGTTTTGATGAGTATTTTTTTTAGTCACATACATCTGTCCAGTTGTGCTTTGTAGAACAAGAATCTTAACTAGTAATCTGTTTCTATATTTAACGTGTCAAAATACTACATTAGCAACTAAAGCTTAACAGATTCCCAAATTCCATATGTACTTTCTGTTTAACACTGTTTTGACACTGTGGATGGATAGATTAATGAACAAAACAAAGCAATGGCAGAGTGTAGGTCTGCTTTCTAAAACCAGCAAGGGAATATGAGTTTTGTGTTAAGATGGGGGGGGTGGGGAGGTGGGGAAGACAAACCACCAGCCCAAGGCAGAACCCCAACCCAGTTGATGTGAACAGTAATTTGACCATTTTAACCTTAATAGTAATCCTTAAGAACAATAAAATTTTATTTTAAATTGCCTTTTTGAATTCCCACAGTGGATCTCCATTCTTTGTCCTATTGCAATAAGTACTGTGATACCTGGTGTTCTGGCGATGTTTAAAACCAATAGGCTTTCAGAATAAACCAGTTTTCCTAGCACAGACTGGACATTTCTGTATTTAGCTATTCACTAGATTGGTTTCAAGATAATTCACAATAGTCATTAATTCAAAGACTTGTCTATAAAAAAGTTGTGACCAATTTCAGATTTTAAGTTTGTTCAACTTACAGTTAATCTTGAGCATTGCAATTATACTCTGTTAGTGGATTGGAAGTGGCAATTTTGAGCCAGTAGTGTATTAAATCGTTGCATTATTTCAATAGTGCTATCTCACCGGATTCAAATTTAGTTCATTAAGAGGTTTAGATGCCTATTTGAGCTTGCCTTTGCATACTGTGCTAATCCCTTACGAATGTTTCATGCTGTTGATTAGCAATGCTTTTTACCAAGAGGAGGAGCTTATTTGTCCCTAAAATTAATTCTGAATGCTTTGGTTTCTAAAATATATTGTCAATGCTAAAGTATCAAAGATAGCTCAGCTAACTATGTAGTTATCCCTCACAAAATATCAAAGTAGTTTTTCCTTTTCATGCTTTTTATTATTCAGAATCTTTATGAAGTAAAAGAAGAAACATCCACCTACATGTGATACAGAATATGTTTTTCTTTTCATGTTTTTTCACCCCTTTTCTTGCCTTCCCTGAATACCTTAAAGGTTTGCAGAGTGGATTCTGGGCAGGAGGTGATTTTACTGTAAATCTCAAAATGCATTTTTGTTAAAATACTTTTTCAGATGCATGATGTATAAAAAAATTGTACAGGACAGTCTTTATTTAGAAGGATCTCTCAACAATTTCTATATAACTTGTCTAATTACCACTTCAGTTTTAGAATTACACCCTTAAGCCTGTATAATTTTATGTTTCTTAACTGAAATTATTGAGAGGATTATTCATATGTATGCATTTTTCCTTCACTTGCAGAGGCGTGCACTCCTGAAACCTCGTAAATTCCCCCCAGAGTTGAAATATGTGGATTACAGCGTAAAAGTGAGCATGCAAGAATTCTTTGAGGTTCCTGAGAAGTTTTCTATTCCAGTGTTGGCATCAAGCAGAGTTAATTTGAAAGTTCCATCAGCAAAAGACCTTTCATTTCAGAAAACAGGTAATAATAGTCTTAAATATGATTAATTTGTGGGGGTTTTTTCCTACCTGATAATCTGCATTTTTAAGGGTTTTCTGAATATATTCAGAAAATGATGTTTCCATTCTACTATTGATCAAATCCTTAGCCTTGTCTTTGTCATCACTACCCAAGTTCTATCTTTTTAGCTCAAAATAGACCTTTCTATTTGATCTCGGTTTTCTCAAAGGCACACAACCACAGGAGACTTGCTTTAAGAGTCATTTGTTTGGTTCGTTTATCTGACAGATCCTGAATTTGTGCTCATTTCTCAATTCTACTTCCCATCCAGCACTGATCTGTGCTCAAATTGTGCCAGTTATACCACATATGTTTTCTTGTTTGCTTCTCCTCAATAATTAGTGTTAACTAATTGTATACCATTTTCTCCCTATCCTTCATCAATGAAAAGTTGTGTGTTGGTCTTCAGAATGGTCTTGTCAGCTATCGTCAATCTCTGTTGCCTCTAATTTTTCTGGTATCTTAAATTTTATACTGAAATCTTAATTGTTTCTTTTTTGCTTGGCTTTCACTTTGATCCCTCCTTTACTAGTTGACTTTTTTTTAATGCTTTATTTAAACATATAAAGCACTCTAGATTGCATTTTTTAAAAAGACTTGAGTGGCTGATGTAACTGGAGTTGTTTAGTCTGCAGAAAAGGAGGCTGATGGGAGACCTTGTCGCTCTCTACAACTACCTGAAAGGAGGTTGTGGCAAGGCGGGTGTTGATCTCTTCTCCCAGATAACAACTGATCGGATAAGAGAAACTGGCCTTAAGTTGCACTAGGGGAGGTTTAGATTGGATATTAGGAAAAATTTCTTCACTGAAAGGGTTGCCAAACATTGGAACAGGCTGGCCAGGGGAGGGGGGGGGGCACCATTCCTGGGGATGTAGATGTTGCTCTTAGGGACATGGTTTAGTGGTGACTTGGCAGTTTTAGGTTTATGGTTGGACTCCATGGTCCTAAAGGTCTTTTTAAACGTAAATTATTGTATGATAAAATTTGTGTTTATATTTACCTGCCAGGGTATCTGTGCGTGGTTATATCATAGCTAATGTAATGTCCCACAAGTATCTGATAACACAAATAATTTTTGGTTTTGCTACTTGAAATGGAAGTAGGAGTTTCCTTAGCAAATGTAGTAAAGGCTTGAATTATAGTCAGTTCACCAATGTGAAAAATCCATGGATTTTTTTCGTCACTTCTTTTCTTGGTCAGTAGAGGCCTTCTGCATGTTTGCGCAGTTCACTTCTCCAGCTGTCATCAGAATCAGCCATGTGCTTTCATATGTATGGTAGTTTTTATACTTGGTGTATCCCTTGTGCTATTTTGTTTCTTTTCTGGAAGAAAAATGAAGAATTTCTTGATTATTTCTGACAAATCTTTTTGCTACATATTCATCCTACTTAGATTACAGTATCTGTGCTGTAAAGCATTTAGGGTGTCACTGGACACGTTTTTAGGAAGATGACAATAGTTATTGCAGTATTAGAAGGAAGACTAGCCTGATGAGTAACTAGAGGATGAGCAGTCTGTAGAAGTTGTAGACCAGATGTAACACTGAGACCTGAAACATTTCTTGAATGACAGAGTATTTAAATCCTAGTTAAAATGCTTTTGTTGTCAAGTTAAAAAATCATTGTCTGTGTTTGTAATAATTGATGTAGAGATAAGCTAAAAAAGTCATAACGGCTTTGCAGGAGATTCTTTGAATTGCACTGTAGAAGAGGGGAATACCAGCTGGGAGAGAGAGCAAGATCTGCACACACAGATATGCTAAGGACATAATAAGACCTCCATCATGATCTCAGAACAGAAGTTGTTAACTGACCAGATGGCAGGTCACTGTCGCTTAGCAACTCCTCAAATCATTTTTGAAGTTGAAATGTGAATGAACATATCTGAAAATTTTGAAACATTAATTGATAAAATGTAGTGAAGAAACTTCATTAAGGAAGTGGTTATTTTTCTGTTTAGTTCATGCTGCTTCTTTATCCATCAAAGGAAATCATTAAAGTATCTGAAAGAGGGAAGTAAGCAGTGGAAAGTCAGAAACTAAATCATGCTGCAGTGAACACAATCTTTTTGATATTTATTTTTTCTTTCTAGGACACTTAAATAGTTACATGAGGAAGTAGAAAGGTCAAGACGATGCAGAGAACTAAATGGTGCTTTGGTAGTGAATTCAGAGAGATGGTGAGCTGAAGAACAGGTGAAAAACAGGAGCTATGATAACCAGCTGATAGCATGAAAACAAACAAAGATGTGCTCAGTACAAAGACCATACTGGCTGATTCAGTGTGTTTGTTGTGCTAATGAGGAAACACAGGAATATTTACCGACACTTAGGAAATCTAATATTGTGACAGAAGTTCCCAGGTGGTGTTCCTGTGGATGGAGGCAAAACATTGGTCTCATCTGAAAATTTCAACTTCATTATGTGAAGAAGCAGCAGTATTTTAGCCATGGTGGTAGCTTTCCTTAGGGTGGGAGTAGATACTTCTCTGAAGAAATGACTAGAGTGGTTAGATTTATGAAGAAAAACAAAGGTGGAAGCAAGCTACCTAAAATCAATCCTTGGATCAGAATTTCTTAGATTCCAGTAGCAGGAAAAGTGTCCAGTCAATAGTTTACGAACTCTGCCAACAGGGAGTTAGAAGGTAAAAACTGATGCCACTCAATATATTTTCTTGCAAAATAGATCTTATTTAATAACTTTATTACATTTTTTGGCAGTATTACAGATCTAATAGGTAAACATATTGTATTTGTTTTCTTACTTCCAATATGACATCTTGATCAAAACCCAAGCCATATACTTGTAAGGAACTAAAATAACACGTTGGCCAGTTTGAAAAACTGTAGCATATTTTGTTGTTAGTGCGTTGCTCGAGAGTCATCAGAAAGTGAGCTCTCAGGAACCAGTACTTGTAGGACAAGGTTAACTACTTTTCATCAGTAATTTAGAAGATTATGTAAAGTCTTTGTTGACTTAGCAATGACCCAGATTTTGTGAAGGAATAGTTAGTTGGAATGCTATATGATTATAAACTATGTATTTTAGTGTAACCAAACATGTAGTAGGTTATGTGGAACAGAGCCTGCATGATAAACCAGGTCAGAGGCAGATAGTGAAAAGGACCAACAGTCACACAAAATTATTATCTCGGTGTGAGCTCTTTCTTAATGCTGCAATGGCCAATGAGGTCTACAGGTAAATTAGAAGTGTAAGAATTGGGGAGATGATCTTGTCTCAGTACACAGTATTGGCATACAAGAAGTGAAAAGTCTGGTGTTTGTAAGAAGTTTATGGAAATTCTGAAAGAATTTGAAAAAGACAAACCGCAAAAATGTTCCAGTGCTAGAAAAGAAAGCTTAGGACAAGGCCAACCGTGTGATCACTTAGAATTCTGTTTGCCTGACAAGCAGTTCTAGCAGAGTCCCTGTAGTGTGTCAGTGTTATGTGACCCAAGGAGTTTATACTTACTGCATGTGGAAGGAGATCATCTAGTAAGCCTGTCATTAGCAGAATGCCAAAGGACACAGCCTAATCCTCAGCTCTGTTTCATACTGAGATTCTTAGGGATCCTTTGGTTTCATCTGTGCACTGAACTAGACCTTAAGTACCCCCATCCTCTTAAAGCTCCTCTTGACGTTAAGCAGAATTTATCTAGTAATTCTTTGCTCTGTAAAAATTTTGGTATGCAAGAATATCACATCACATACCACAGTGATTATTCACTGTTGTCTCAAACTGGATCCTTAAGGGCTTTAGATCAGCATAAGTAACCTGGGAAATCATTCAATCCCCGTATATAGCTCGGGACAAAGGTAATTGACAGTAAAACTTTAATGCTTTATAAACCAAAGGATAGTGTATTGAGCAGTTAGAAACTTGTGTTAGGCCTATTTAACATCAAAATAAGTTGCCTTTTTCTTAGTGGTGTGTTATTAAAGAATGAAAAGGCTAAAATGCTAAGTGGAATTAAAATAATGGCTCCAGATTTTAAGCAACAGAGTAGCCGCCTCCAAAAACAGCTCCGTGCTTCACCAAACTAGCAAGTTGCTGGTTTCCTTGGATAAAGCATTGGTAGCAATGCTTTGACTGTCTTGCCTCATCTGTCTCTGTATGCATGTGTTTCCAGAGCAAAACCAGTAAGAGGCCACTTCATGATATAAAGCACAATTTCATTTAGAGGAGCCCAGTAAATACCCAGATTGTCATGGCTATTGATTTTTAGTCTGATATTTGCTGGCAATTTAAAAATTGCAACATATTACCCCCAAACATGATAGTTGATGATTCCGTGTTAATTATGAAAATGTTACCCATGAATAAACGTCTATAACATTGATCTGATCTCAGTATTTTTCTTATGTAGACTATAATTTTACTTAGAAATATTTACTGCTAAAGTTTTGATTGCCTTACTTTCTAATAAATAAAGTGCAGAACAACTAACAATCAAGAATAAAATTTTAAATCATTTGGCATGCATCATTCTTACTGTTAGAAATGAAAAATATTTTTCAGTGTTTCCCTTTTGTGTTTTATGTAGTCATATCAGATAGCTGAGTAAAAATGTTTACTTGCACTGTATCTTTTACAGATTGACTTTTTCATGTTAGTATTATTTCCTAATCTCTCTCTATATTTTCTTGATAATTATATACTATGTTTTTAAATTTACATTAATATCTTTTCATGACCTGTGGTCAACTTTATCTCCTTCTTTCTATGACTTTTAAATATTGTCACATGTACTTGATCAACATTGGGTTTAATCAACGCAATCTTTTTTCATCTTTTATGTATTTATTTATTTATTTCTCCGAAGGAATTTACTGGGCCCTTAAATCTATTTTCCAGTAAAACGTTATCACTAATTCTGTTGTTTCGTCCCAGTATTCCATTGTCCCCATGCTGTATAAATTTTCCTGCATATTAGGGTTTTTTTTAATAATGTCTTAATTTTTTA